GCCTGTAAGACCTCTTCCTTGTGGAAACAGTCCATGCTACATCTATTTGAACAGAAAGAGGTGAAGCCTATCTCCTTGTACGGGGAGGATGGAGTTCATAGCTTGGGCCATAAACAGCATACTTAGTAGTCTCTCCTCTATGTGAAATAGCTTTTAAATGTTGGCAACACCATGTTCATTTATGGGCAATTTCTTTAATCACTTCATTGTCTCTTGAAGATAACTGAATGTTAATACACAGGGACAACAGATCCATCAGAGAAATGGATGTGGAGCTGTGTTAGTAAAATCAGAGGTGACTTGGGCCCGGCGGCATAGCCTAGCGGCTAAAGTCCTCGCCTTGAACACGCCCGGGATCCCATATGGGCGCTGGTTCTTATTCCGGCAGCTCCACTCCCATCCAGTTCCCAGCTTGTGGCCTGGGAAAGCAGTTGAGATGGCTCAATGCTTTGGGACCCTGCACCCCTGTGGGAGACCCAGAAAAGGCATGGTAGAAGAGGTGAGTTAAAACACACCTGTCACAAAGAGATTGGTGGCCAAAGCCCAGGAAAGAAAGTAAAGTACCTTGTCCCTCTTCTGCTGTAAAATGAAGACATGATGGTCAGAAAGGTGTCGAGAGTTTTATGGTGTCCTGCAGGAGACCACAGCAGAGGTGCTCCAGTGTCCTCCTCGGAGAGGGAGGTTTATGGGGACAGGGCAGGAGGAAGACACCCTGCAGACAACAGGAGAACAGCTGCCCAGAGAGGTCTTTGGGTGGCCAGGAGACAAAGCAAATACCACCAAGGGTTACTAAGATTCAGTGAGTACCCACGGTGTGAACCAGCTATGTGCCCAGCTCATGTAATCCTTTATGCTGATAAAGGCGATGCTTTCCACTTGCCTTTAATTTTCTCTCCCTCCAAAATCCTTAGTAAGTCAGGCACAGAAAGAATGAGAATAAGGTTGGGGTGGGGTCGAGGTGAGGGCATGCTGCAGAATGGATGGGCAGGTGAAAAAGCAAGGAGAACCAAATGTATCAGTCTAAGGGGAACTTCATCATGGCTGGCATTATTTAGTAGTGACTGAGTGAGCCAATATGCCACATGCCTTTCATACATGTTCTTTAATCTTCATGAAGACTAAAAAGTAGCAAATTAGCACTCCAACTTCTTCAGACAGAGACTGGAGGTATACAGGGGCCAACTAAGCCCTACCAGGAAGCAGTGTTCCAGCACTTCCAGGGCCTGAGTACTCATTTCCCTCATGATATATCCCCTAATTCCCATGTTTACACCAAACACTCATGATAATGACATGAAGAGGTGCAGCCTTTAGGGCAGGAGTATAGGCAGTGTACTTAAGAGAGAGAACTAAGGATCCAGCACAGTAGCCTAGTGACTAAATTCTCACCGTACATACACAAGGATACCATAAGAGCGCCGGTTCATGTCCCAGCTGCTCTACTTCCCATCCAGCTCCCTGCTTAGGGCCTAGGAAAGCAGTCGAGGATGTGCCAAGGCCTTGGGACCCTGCACCTGTGTGGGAGACCTGGGAGAAGCTCCTGGCTCCAGGCTTCAGATCAGCTTAGTTACGGCCACTGCAGCCACTTTGGAAGTGAACCACTAGATGAAAGATATTTCTGTAAACCTAACTTTCCAATAAAAATAAATGAACATTTTAAAAGAGACAGAGAGAGAGAGAGCTGAGAAAGTCTGTCTCCCCCATCCACCAGGTAAAGATGCAGAGCAAAGGTACAATGCTTGAGGAACGGGCCCTCGCCAAACTCTGAATCCACAGATGCCTTGATCTTAGCATTCCTGGCCTTTTAAACTGTGAGCAGTAAGTTCCCCTCATTTATAAATTACCCTGCTTTAAGTATTTTTCCATAGTAGTCAAATAAATTACCCCTCTGCCTCTTGCCAGTACCTCTTATCGAAGTGTTTAAGGATCTATGCTCTTAATTGAGACCTAAACATTTTGGTAAACAGTAAACTTAACAAAACAGTGACTAAGGGAACCTTTTAGCTTTGGTACATCCAGACATTTAGCATCCTCAGCTTCAAGTAGCTCCCTGAGGTTAAAGTGCAACCATAGATAGTAGAGACAAAAGCAGAAAGCAGGAGTAAGCTGATAACTCTTTGCAGAGTTTCATAAGATACAGCTAAACCCATTAGTGAAAACTCCCAGGGATTTTTCCTGCTATGTGGAAAGACAAGATTGTAGCTTCAAGATTTAACAAAAATAAACAAGCCTATTATGGGCAAGTGTCTCCTACCCTGATCTGGGTAACAGTTGAAGGCCATCCAAAACCCCACGTGGTAGGAGACTAAGAGCTAATGTGTTAACATTCACAGACAATGGATGAAGGATAGAGGTTTGATCTAAAGATGGTGTTTGAGGCAGTAGCCCCATAGGGAAGTCTTCAGGTCACTGATGCACGTCCCCCAAAGGTGCTCCTTGCAAGAAAGTGGGTTACAGTAGCTGAGCTAAGCATAACTCTCTTTGGATCTCCATGTGATCCTGTCTTCATATAAGTTCTGCCATCCTCCACCCTCTTTAGCTACCAGACCAGTGGGGCCATCTTGGAGTGTTAGCCAAAATGTCAGCAGTCAGGAACCTCCCTTTCTTGATTTTTTTTTTCTGAAGGAAATAGCCATATCTCAATTAAGTACTGTTCATTAGGCACTGGACAAGCAGCACTCAAAAATAATGGGGAGGGACATTCAGCACAGCAGTGAATGCCACTTTGGATGTTCATATCCCATATCAGAGGGACCAGAGTTCAAGTTCTAGCTCTGATTCTGATCCAGAATCCTGCTAATATGCACCCTGGGAAGCAGCATACGATGGCACCATTGTGGAGACACAGACTGGATTTCTGGCTCCCAGTTTTAGCCCAGCCCAGGCCTGGCTGTTACAGGCATAGGAGGATTCAAGCAGCAGATGGAAGACCTTTCTATGAAACCCTGTTGATCTTTTTCTCTCCCTACCTTGACTTGCATGTATGAGGAAGGTAAACAAACACTTTTTAAAGAAAGACCAAGCAGCTCCTATTCTAATGACAATTTCTCCAACTATAGAGTCCTTGTATCAGATTCATCTTGTATTTCTTACAAATGCAGATTTAGGGCCCTACCCTTGGCTGACAAAATCAAAATCTTTGAAGCCAGGTCTGGGCATGTACACTCTGCATAAGCTCTTCAGGTGATTGCTACGTACTCTTGAGACTGAGCACCATGGGCTGCAGTGAACAGAGGCAATGCCATATGGTAAACAGAAAGATACTCAAGATTTCAAGACAATACACAGGTACAGTGCCTAACCCAACTTCTGAAAACATCTTTCTGGGAAACAGTAGCTGTCCAGAGGAAAAAGAAACCCAGAGCTTTCTAGTGAAGCTAATAGGCAATGGGAGAGAGCAGGTTTATACATTCCTTATTGAACAAAGTAGAAGATGATGAGAAAAGTTACTACCAATATTTTCATTCTTCGTCATATCATAGTACAAAATATGTAACTCTGGCAGATTCTGCGTCAGGGTGTCTGGAACAACACCTGGGACTCTAAGGCACTCCCAGCGGATGCCCACACCCCTGGCACTCAGCCACAAGACAAAGATTTGGATCCATACCATCACGCAGTCTCATGCACTGCTATGCATATATATATAAAAAAAATCTTCTATGTCTTGGAAGCATTTTTGTCTTAGGTTTCAGCCAAGCATAATCTTAACTACATTTAGTCTGTACCAGGTATCCCCAGACACTTTTAAGGTAAAATTCAACTAGTTTCCTTTTCAACCACAAACAAAAAGTACAGGCATCTGTTCTTGCCTGACACATGCCTGGGAAGCTGGTGACATCCCTCCTAGCCTTCGCTTGCACGACTTGCTTCAAAAAACAGGAAAAAACACTACCTTGGAGATCAGCCACAATGCCAGCAATGTCCCAATGACATCTTTTATTAACAAACAATTCCCCAGAAAAAGTATCCTTTCTTGCATTCAAATTCAAGCTCAACGGATTTTGATTTAATCTCTATAAATCACCCCAACGATTGTTTTCAAGATTCACACAATGTGATGTTACACTTTCAATGGTTTTCAGGCAGATAATAAAATAATATCTTGAAAAGAATTGCTAAATCATAATCACAAAATAGTATCAGAAACATAAATAAGGACTGAAGTTGCCATGGTATTCTAACTTTGAAAATGTAGAACCCAAGTATAATCCTACATTATATGTTTTTGGAAACTTGTAAGTATATATTAAGCCTCAACACTATGTTCCTTCAGTCATTTCCTCCAGAATGACTATAGTAAAGTAGGGACAAAAATAACCACCCTGAGATAACCTATAATCAAATAGTAAATGAGAACCACGCCACATGACTGCCAAGATCCAGGCTAAAGGATGCCTTCATCGGTAAAACCATCCTTATAAATCTTTCTGATGAATTTTCCTTCAATAAATACTTACTGAGCATTCATTACATGCCACAAAATATGCCAGACATATACTGAATTTTATCCTCATAATAGAATGTAATGGGCTGAGGTATAAGATTGAGCCCTTCTCTTCAGACTTTATCAAACTGTTAATGTAACCAAGTACCCAATGTGCTTGGCTATTTGTGCAAAAAGTGAATTACAAGACAATTCCAAAAACTGAGTTTTGTGTTGCCTATGTGAAAATATCTGCATGTATTCATGAGTCACTGCAAGGCAGGGCTGGGACAGCGGCCACTGTACCAACTGCCCAGAGTCCAGTCCAATCGCTTGAACTGTCTCCTGCAACAGCTTCAGACACAAACCCTGTATTGACACAATCCAAGTAGCTGTTGGAACAGCATAAATCTCCCATCCATTCAAACCACATTGTGACTATTAAGGCACAGATTTTTTCAACACAGCCAAAGAGAGACAGGGAAAGAAAAGAGCTGTCCAAATCTATGAAAATTCCAGCACCAAAGAGAAACTGAAAATAACAGATCAAAAGGTGCCCGAGTTAGTTACTCACCTGATCGATTTCCATGAGCTTGGGGTAGGCACCAGGCCATTCTATGGCCACCTTGACAATGTCTGCAGGTGGCGGCATTGTAAGCTCCGAAGTTGTCAGAACCCAGTGGAATTGGAAATCCTACAGCGTAGACAATTGCACGTGTCAATATCTAATGGGGAATGAGAAAAAGAGAAGGAGAAGTTGCTCAGTGTAGACGCAAGGCGAATTTCGCTTCATCACTTCCTGTTTTCACTAGCAGTTTAGGTATAAGAAACTGTTCCCCTTGGCGCCAGGGTGCTGAAGCCACAGCGGGACAGCCAATGGCATCACAGGCTCCTGAACTAAAAGAAACATGGGGTGGGGGTGGGGCGCAGGACTGTACCAATGCCCTAGAGTTGAAGCCACCAGAAGACAGCCTGCGTGATTCCTCAGTGCCAAGACAGCTGCTCCTTAACCCCAAGGTTGTGTTCAGAATGGTGCCCAGGCTCTCAAGCAGGCAGGGCTTGCCCTCTGTGCAGACACTCAAGTCAACGGCTGGTGCTCAACAGTCTCCGGAAGGACAGATTGCCCAGGAAGTCATGGCCAGGAAGCAGGTTTTATTTAAAGCATTTTCTCTGTGTCACAAATAGATCTCTACACTATAGCAACGAGGATATCAGGAGCAACAAGAAATACCTCGGAGTTCACAAGCGCGCACTCCCTCCTCAAGGTCAAGCCACACAATGCACCTTCCAAGAGGGGAAGAAAGGGTACAGGTGCACACAGCGCTGCGCGAAGGAGAAGCCTAGGAGTCTCATCTGAATGAACACGGCTGTTTACCCAAAGAAAAATAAGGAGTATCCGATGCTGTTTCTGCTGCTGTTTGTTCTTAGGCTAGCTCATTTCTAGCTGTAACGACAGCTGTGAACAGGCAAATCAGTCATATGCTTCAAATCTGTGTCTTTGGGGGAAAGAATATGAAGACAGATTACGGAGGCCTCTCTCTCCTGCAGTCCCCCAATACCCACTTTTTCCTCCCAACTCTCCAGCTATACAGAAGTATTTCATGTGGCCCTCCAGAACTGATTTATGGAAGACAAATATAAAACAGAGTAGCATCTTTTCTCCTTTTTACACAAAAGGTAGCATTTTAACATAAACTAAATAGAAGCATATAATTAAATATAAATTTTAATATAGCTCCTAAACCCTTCTATATTGCTACAAAATAAAGCGTCTCCAATCTGCCAGCAACCACATCATTCTATGAATGGCTGTGCCCCTCCAACCCCTCAATCCATGAACCAGTTTTCAGCTCTGGCCTTTCCGGTTGATTTTCTTGCCTGTAGCTATTATAAACCTATGATGCATAAATTTATGCATTCATAATTTTCACATATGTAAGTCCATCATTACAACAGATTCACAAAAGCAAAATTACTAGATCAAAGAGTATTTGCAGGTACTCATAAGTTTTGATACCATTTCCCAATACCCACTCCCTCTAACCATTTGTGAGGTTGCCTATTTACACACAGCTCCACCAACAGATGGGATTTCTGCAGACAAGACAGGTTGAAAACGCATACCTCCCTGTGCTTTTGACTGGCAGTTCTCCTATTAAGGCTTGAAAAAGTCATCCATGTTCACTTTTCTGTGAACTGTCCAATCCCTTTGCCCTTCTCTATTGGGGCTCTTGGCCTTCTTCTAGCAACTGATCTCTGTATGAAGATTTTAATCAAACGTTCATCTGTAAGCCTTGTGACCAGAGTAGGCCTTGTCAGTTACTATCCCAGATCTCAACGGCCACTGGACAATTCCGAGGCAACAGGAAAGCCAAGTTAACCTTGGAAGTCCCCGGCCACACCAGGAGTTACATAAATAACTAACTTCAGCAGGACTGACAAGTAAAGGAAATGAACCAAACCAGGGTTGCTGCTCCTTTGGTCAAGGATGATTAGGGCAGCCTGCTGGGAAGCTAATTGGTAGTAATCAGCCAGGGTCACTCTACAAAGCAGCGGCTCAGTCACTCATTCAACAGAGAATGATTGCATCTACTCTGTGCCAGACCTATTGTCCAGGCTGAGGATACAGCAGCCAATTGCAGTTGGAGACAAGGCAGAAATAAAGAGGTGAACAAGGCTAAAAGTGCTAAGTTGTGTGAGGCAGTCCAAAACATTTTCTTGGAAAATGAAGTTGTAAGTTTATTTTCACATAAGGTTTGAAATCCATGCACCTGAGATCTCTTCAACAAGTTCACGCAAAATCTAGATGATGAAAAAATTATGCATCAATTTCGCAAAAATTTAGCCATCCACTTAAAATGACCTCCTAAGTGCAATTTTCGATGAAGCAGCCTAGTGTGAGTGTGGAAAGGATAGAGTACAATGTTCAACAGAGAGAGCTTTACCAGGACCTAGGAGAGGTGAGGAAGTGAGCTCATCTGGAGAACTCATATCCCTGGCCAGCACAACAAACAACACGTCCCAGGGCGTGAGGCAGAAGTCTATCTCACCCGCTCCTAAAACTGGCAAGTTGCCACCAAAGCCAGACAGGAGCAAAACGTAGGAAGAGAAAGAATCCAGACCATAGTTGGTCCTAACTCAGGAAGCCCATTCCCAGGGTTCTTCTTACACCACCCTCAGCCCTAACACCTTACCGGTAGCCCATTTTTGTTTGTAACATTTAAGGACTGAAGTTCATATCTAAGTCCATTGGTTTGGAATGTAAACTGTCACAACTTTCCAGACAAACTGTCCCCAAAAAACTTCTGACTTTTGCATTTTCTTCAAGTCATTTTAGTTTCCTAAGATATTGAAAAAAAAAATTCAGCTTAATAATGACTGTTTCTGTTTTATTTACAACTCATAAGACTGGGAAACAATTGACCATCACACAACAGGAACATCTTAACTAGCTATGTCTTATGTGCAAACACAAGCAAACAGTCTGCACCTTCTCTGAATATTTGTGAATTGCAGGACTCTCTGGACCCCAACAGTTCAATACAGGATCACAATTAAAATCTACACCCTTAGAATCAAGAAAGCGGCCTCTACTATGAACACAGTCTTTGTGTGAATATTAGATAACTGTTCGAAACAAAGAATGGGGTAGGGGGGAGCAGCAACCGAGTAGATAATATAAATAATGTGCATTTTGAACATTCCCATCCCACCTCTGCAAACAGTTTAGAATTACAACCACAAGGTCATACAACCTTCTAGGAATCAAAGGCCAAGCTTGTATTTCTATCCCTTGAACCGTCCTTCCCAACCTCCAGACCATTCAGGGTGAAACCTGTTGAACAGGTGGGAATACAATAGCTTGGCTCTCCCAAGGGCAGTTAGGTGAGAGTCCCGCTGCACAAAACAGCCATTGAGAGAGCAAGGACAGGGGGTTCCCCTGGGGAATTCACATACCCAAGTCCACTGCCTTCTGCCCTCCGCTAACAGGCAGCAAGAGATAGGGAAGTTAAGTAGCAGCCATCCCTGGGGGATGGAGACAGAGGCATAAGGGACGTTTGAATGATGGGTTCAACGTCCCAGATGTTACCCTTGCGGAGAGGAGAGAGATCACACTGGAGCCAAGTGTAGGATGTTAGGAGGAGTCTTTATTGCCCAAGCTTGGTGACAGTTTGCTGCCACTACACTCCAGGAACCACTGCACAGAACCTCCAAAGTCAGGGATTTTTAAGCTCTCACCCTCCAATCAGACTGACAGCCACGAAGTACAAAATTTCATGCAGGAAGGGAGTTAGCAAAGCCCAGAATTTTCCTATAGTTACCTAATATAGTACACTAGCAGGCAGGAGGGGCCATGTGCACGGAGCCTCCCGAGTAATTTCCAAGCAAGGGCAGGAGGGCGAAGTGCAGTTTTCGCACCTTCAATAAACTTGAATGGGCGAGGAGGTAGGAAGGGCGGGGTGCAGAAGCTCCCTTTCTGCGCCTTGTCTGCTGTCAAATAACCTGACAAGCGGGTGGGAGCCATCACTGGTAGCACCCCATTACATTATACTCCCATCTGCCTTTTATCCTCTTGAGTTTGTGAGTCGGCCAAGAAAGAACCAGCTGCTATTGGCCTCCACACATTCAGTGTTCCTATTCCTTCTGATACTAGGTACGGCAATGGTTCTTGCTCAGGCTACTTCACCTTTGGCTTCAATTCCTTGTGACAGGGGATATTCTGTGCATTGTGGAGAGGTTAACAGCCATGATCAGGCATATGAAAAATGTCTCCAGGGCCCGGCGTGGTAGCCTAGCTGCTAAAGTCCTTCCCTTGCACACTCCAGGATCCCATATGAGCGAGGGTTCTAATCCCAGCAGCCCTACTTCCCATTCAGTTCCCTGCTTGTGGCCTGGGAAAGCAGTCGAGGACGGCCCAAAGCCTTGGGACCCTGCACCCACATGGGAGACCCAGAGGAGGTTCTGGGCTCCATGCTTTGGATCAGTACAGCTCTGGCTGTTACAGCCACTTTGGAGAGTGGATCAACGGGCGGAAGATCTTCCTCTCTGTATATCTTACTTTCCAACAAAATAAAATAAATCTTAATAAATAACGTCTCCAGACACTGCAAAATATCTTCCAAGGGGCAAAATCATCCCAGTCAGAGATTATGAGCTACTAAATCCTCTATATGCAGGGCACCCAATCCTTGAACTTGACATACTTTAAGCACTCTAAGGCAAGATCCACATCCTATCCAAGGCAACACAGGCCTTTCAACACATGGTTCATGAATAAATGCATACACTTCCTACAGAACTAGCATCTCATTAAGTCCACTTGTCAAAGTTACCCAAGTAGATACCCAGTATTGCTTAAATTGCCCAGTAAATATATGCTATAAGAATTTGTGTAGGCAGCCAGGTATCATGGTTCTTATACAAGCTGAAATTTAAGAATCACAGGAAGGAAGTCTACACAACTGGATAGACATTCCAATCGAAACGGGATGTACCAGATTCTGAGAGAAAGCTCTTCTCCCTTACAGATCCATTACCGCTCTACATGGTTTTCCAGGCAGCTTGCTTAGATCTATGACTTTATAAAATTTCCCAAATATCTTATCAATATTTCCGTTTCTCCAAGTTTCCCACATAACTTTAGTTTAGGACATATACAATGTCTTTTAACCTCTTTGGTCCCATTTCCAGTCATTTCTGTTTCACAATAAGCCCTACAAGAAAA